AGGCCCAGGAAGCAGCGGGGCACGGGGTACCCTCCCCGGGCAACACTGCAGAGGCCGAGGGCCAGAACCACCCAGGTATTTATCCTTTTTCTTGTGTTTCGTAGTTTGACCGGGCAAACTATTTGTACTTAACGTTTTTGGTTCGTTTTGCAGATATGGAGTTTGAAGAGTTCGCTATCCCCGAGGACCAACCAGCCGGGGAGACCGGGGGCTCCCAAGCCAATCCTGCCAGGACTTTCCCGGTCAATCCAGAGACCGTGGAAATCCTGGATGAGGATGAGCCCCAAGAAGACCGGTCTAAGGGGAAGGAGAAGGAGAAGGCCGGTCGCCGGGTGAAGAAGGTGGCCACCACGCACCCCTCCTATGCCAAGAAGAGGGCCCGGTCAGATCCTGAGCCGGCCGGCCAGACCATCGAAGAGGCCTTCGTCAACCTGGGGCTGAGGCTGAAGGAGGTAAGTTCTGCTGCTATCCCGGTCTTGATCCCTCTTCGCTTATTATTCCATTCTTACCGTGCTTGTTTTCCCTTTTGTGCAGGCGGGGGAGATTGGACCCCTCACAGCCGACCGGCTTGGTTTAGGCTCTCCCTCGGAGTTTGCCCGGCTGAAGAAGGAGAAGGAGGAGATGGCCCTCATCTTGAAGAGCCAGGCTGACGAGCTGATCAGGCTGTCTGGGTTAGCCGGGACCCTGAAGACCGAGATCTCACAGCTAAAGGAGGAGAATGGCCGGCTAATGGATGAAATCTCTGAGGCCTAGAGGGAAGCAGCGGAGAAGGAAGAAACCTTCCCCGGGCGTGCTGTCGCCTGGGTTGAAGAGAACAAGGGCGTTGCTGCCCGGGTGATGACGGCGACTCCAGAGACGACAATGGAGTCCTTCAGGCTTCTGTATCGGGAGCCTGAAGGAAAGAAGATGATTACCGCGATTGGATCCTTTGGATTCAAGAGCGGTCAAAAGAAGGACAAGATCGCCTCTCACCGGGTCCTGCTCAGGAGAGATCCAAACTTCAGCGCTGCATCCTATGGCCTGGCCCCAATCCCAGAGGAAGAGCCTACTCCCCCTTTCCCCTTAGACTAGGCCCCCCGGTTGTGCCCGGTTGTTTTTGCAAAAACCTCAACTTGAAATTTCCTCGGGGATGCCCGGTGTAGTTGTAAAACATTTAACATTCTTATTTCGTTTGAATGCCATGTTTTCTTTTCATACCGGTTAATCTTCCACGTCTGATTGCTTGTCTGATTTTTTTTTTTTTGATCTTGCTTCTTAGAATAACCATCATAGAAATTCCGACCAGTAGCCCAATCAGACCACTCCTCCATTGTTTCTGACCGGGAGAACTTCAAAGTTCTCTCTGATCATTTTATCTGAAGGATTAGCTCGAGTAGCTTTGACCGGTTAAACTTCAATTTTCGCTTTTCGAACGTCTTCATCATTTTGGCCAACTTAAAAAGTTTGACCGGCCGAAATTTACTTTTGCCTTTTGGATAGCTTCACCAATTCTTTCGGCAAAATTTACTTTGACCGGTGAATTACCACGCCATGGTTTGACCGGTCAACTGCCTTGCCTTTCGATGGATGTAGAACTTTCGAAGTTCTGATGTGCCCATACCCGACCGGGGTATTCTTTTCTTTCTTTTTTTTTTTTATCGGTAGGTTGTAGATGGAGCACCTGTAACCTAGTAATTCTTGAAGTATTCTTAACCGGTAAGAATACTGGAGATTTAACCATGTCGAATGGTTTCGAACCCTCTCCAAGGTTCAAATGCACCCTTCTTCCAGGGCCCCCTCTTCCGGGTGATTAAGTCTTTTAATGGCCCTTTGATTTCTACCATCCCGGGAAGGCCTTAGCTCACCCCCCCGTTCAAGTCTTCCCTGAGAAGGGGGATATAGGATGCGCCACGGTGGACGATCCCCTTCTATTTCTTTTAATGAGCATCTTTTTAGTCCCCAATCAATCTGACGGCGCCGGCTGATTCCCCGACACCAGTCAAACCTCATGGGCTCGTGTAAGTACGGTTCGAACCCTCTTCCAGGTCCAGCCCTCTTGCAGGCATACCCTCTTCCGGGCCCCTCTTCCGGGTTTTGATATTTTTTCTATTATACTGAGCAAAACCGGTGTAGTAACCAGCGTGCCAGGTCCGGGCCTGTGTCTCAGTTGGCTTAGCCAAGTGGATTCGATCCACCCAGGAAGCCCTCCTAGGATAGGTTCGACCTATCAATCCTGCCGCTACCAAATAGAGTATTGAACATCATCGGTTTGATTGATAATAAAGTAGGTCTTGCCTAGTATTACAATCATTTGTAGAACTTGCAAAGATGATGGGAATTCCAGGTCCTTTCTACCGGTACCCCTTCAAGAGTTTCTAACCGGTATGTCCGGGCGAATGATGGCTTTAACCCTATATGGGCCTTCCCAGTTTTTTGCTAGCTTTCCCCCATCGCCGGGTCTACTTGTTTCTCTTCTTCGTAGGACTTCATCCCCAACTTGGAAGTATCGCGGCCCGACCTTATTATCATGGTACTTCTTCACAACTTGTTGGTATGTGCTCATTTTGACTTCCGCGGCCATTCTCCGCTCTTCGACCAAGTTGAGTTCGGCCAAGTGATCTTCCTCATTCTGCTGGGGTTGATAATTTGACTCCCGAAACGTGGGGAATTCAGCTTCGATGGGCAGCCTTGCTTCACACCCATAGGTTAGGGAGAATGTAGTTTCCCCGTGAGCCCTCTTGGGTGTTACTCGGAATGCCCATACGATGTGTGGGAGCTCTTCCAGCCACTTGCTTCCTGCTTCTCCCAGCCGTTTCTTTAGACCATCCACAATCGTTCGGTTGACGTTTTCGACATGGCCATTCCCTTGGGGGTACGCTACCGAGGAACGATTGTGCTTGATCCCGAAGCCTTCCAAGTATTCAGTGAATCTTGGATTTCGGAATTGTGGGCCGTTGTCGGTGATGAGGTTCATGGGCGCTCCAAACCTTGTGATGATGTTCTTTCAAATGAATTTCTTGCATTGTTGCGTGGTAATGCTGGCCAATGCTTCGGCCTCGATCCACTTGGTGAAGTAATCGATGGCTACGATTACAAACTTCTTCCCTCCTTGGGCGACTGGGAAGGCTCCAATGATATCAACCCCGAATCTAGCGAATGGGATGACATTCGATACGGGGTGGTAGTAGGTTGCCGGTCTACCGGGATACTTATAGAATACTTGGCACGTCCTGCATTTCTGGACGTACCTTTCACAATCCTGCACAATTGTTGGCCAGTAATACCCCAACAAGATGATGCGCTGGGAAAGCGTACGGGACATTTGATGCGCCGCGCCTACGCCTTTGTGGACTTCCGCTATGACTCGTTCAGCCTCCCGGTTGGTCAGGCATCTCAGGAGTGGCCCCCCAAATGCCCTTTTATACAGCTTTCCATCAAGAATTTGGAATCGGGGCGCCCTGAGCTTCACTTTTCTTGCCCGGTCATCTTGTTCTGGCAAGCTCCCATCCGTCAAATATTCCATCAGATCATACATCCAATGGTCGTCCGCCCTGACCAAGTTTGACCGGTCAAACTGGCTTCCGGCAGTTATAGCAGCGACTTCCAATTTCTCGATGCTTGCACGGTCAAGGATCTCTACCCGGGCAAGTTTCGAAACATGCTCGGGAGCATACTGCGTCAATTTGGAGAGAAGGTCTGCATCCGCGTTCTCCGCCCGGGGAATTTGGGCGATCTTGAATTCTTCGAAGCCTTTCAACAGGGCGAGTACAAGGTCCTTGTATTGTGCCATGCGTCCTTCCCTTGCTTCCATGTTACCGGTCACCTGCCCTACTATCAGGCTAGAGTCAGATTTGATACTGACCCGGCTGATTTTCAGGGCTTGGGCAAGTCTGAGCCCTCCAGCCAGAGCTTCATATTC